TAAGCATCCAAAGACTCCTAATTCGTGGAAAGTATCGCTTTGTAGTTTCTACCCCAAATATGGAGTGTGACGCTAAACCTTAATCCTCTAAAACCCTAACCCTAACCCTAAAACCCTATCTAATGTTATTGTAAATTTGAACGTAAACTCAAAAATGATTGATTTCTTCATGGCCCTCTGGATTTGTTAGTCTGCGCTAAATTTACGAATTCCGCTACGACAAACCTGATTCTTGCTCGAGACCCAAATCCAGAGGGCCATGATTTCTTAAACCCTTTTATAAAAATAAAAATAAAAATAAAATAAAATAAACAAACAGAACCCTGGCACAGCCCTAAGAACCACAGGAAAAAACCATTCAAATCAACAAAATGTATTTTGTGTTTGGAGGCTGAAATCATAGCCTTCTTCTAAATGAAACACTGAAATCAATATTTACAATATAGTTTTTTTTTAACTTTCATGTTTTTGTTTTTCCATAGCCGGCTATGGTTTTTCTGTTCAATTTTCAGAAGGCTAAGGTTTGTTTTTTAGTTGGTAGCCTCCCAAAAAAAAAATGTAATCGTGGCTCCTCTAGAAATTGTCACTGGATGAAAGTCGTCATGAGAGAAATTCATTTCTGAGACAATTATCTAGAGAAGAGGGCCATCAATAGATAATCACTTTTGCTATAATAATAAAAATATTAATTAAATATAACAAGGTAGAAAACCACAAAAAGCCTGATTGAGAGTATTATCCAATGAGAACGTATAATTTGGATTTGGATTCCACCAATCAATTACTAGATACTGCTTGATCAGAAATACTTGTACTTTTAAAAAAAATGTTGTACATAGGCATTCGTTCCATATACTACCGGGCTCAGACGAAACTCACTCTAGTTTTACTACATACCGATACTTATTCTAATCGTGATGAATAAGTACGCACTTGCGAGTAGTCGTGTGCTTTACAACTACAAGCACTCACTATCTGCGAGCAGATTTCTTGGTATAGGTTTTGTATCCCTCAGATTGTGTGCAACGAAGACGCCGCTACAGGATATCTACAGACCACCCTATACGGATCTCTATCAAAACGGCCAATTTGTCAGTCATCACGTAACCACCATGCCCGCAGACGTTGGTAATACCCACAGTAAAAGCAGCGAGGCAGCAGAGAAGGCCAAGCATGTTACAGGGAGTATGTTATCCACACTTGTAGCTGGAGCTTTGGAGGTATTAGCCGGGGCATCGGCGGCTGTTAAGGGCTCGATGCTGGCGTACAGTAGGTATGCAGTATACTACAAGTCGTGACACTTGCTGTATTTCGTATAATATGTCTAAATTTGCGCACAACTGATCTCGTCTGTGTTATACCATTAGATGAACGATCTTGTACTCGACCTGGGCAGTGAGGACTTGGTTAATCATCCAAATTAAGTACCAGACTGAATATACTAGGATATATATATATGTGTGTGGGGGGGGGGGTGTGTATATGAATATGTATATAT